AGAGAGAGAGAGAGGGAGAGAGAGAGTGGGAGAGAGAGAGAGAGGGAGAGAGAGATAGAGAGGGAGGGAGAGCGGGAGAGAGAGGGAGAGACAGAGAGGGAGAGAGAGAGAGAGAGAGAGAGAGCGAACGGCTGACGAAAAATCTCAAATGATTCTCGCATTCAGTCCGTGATGTTCCACAGGCCCGTGCGCGCATGCGCAAATGTTCGCAAAAATGCTGTAGCGAGTGGGAGCGAGACGAAGACTTCTCTCTCGCACAAAAGGTTCTAATTCCCGGCGCCATATTTAGGGGTTGGAGCTAGAAAATTGCGTTTAACTTTGAATCCATAGCAGATTCGCGGGTACGATCAACACAAAATTTGTGGTAAATGATCTTATAAAAAATATGGAAGAAAAAAAAAGAAATTCATCAATTCAATGTTAAGATATAAATAGCAACATATATTAAATTCGCTCTGAATAAATAAAGAAGCTATTGAAAAAAAAACACTGATATTCCGAATAACAAAAAAAAAATTCATTAACTTCAATTTTTTAAATGGAAAACATTTTTTTTCCCCATCTGATCTTCACGCAGCTCTGGGGGATGAACGGTTGGGAATAGGGGTCAAGTGTCCCAAACATTTTTTGTGTAGAATCTTGAGGTCTACAACTTTGTATATCACGTTTTTGGACGTACAGCGCGTTATTCACGAGTTATTTCGAAAAAACGGTTTTCAGGGGTAGTTTTTTGGCTTTTTCTACCCCCGCACAAACTTGGGGAACCTTAAACATGCGCCATTAGTTTCATACGCCCAAATCACAAATTGTATAAAAAATGGAGCCTGATTAGCAAACATTCGTATGTTAGACCTTCGTTCATTGGACTACTCCGGACTCACTCGACGCCGGAGAGCCGTTCGGGGTTTCTCCGCGCTTTTGAAAATTCATTCCTCCGCTCCTACTTGAGATTAAGTAATGAAATCGCTGTCATTTATTGAGAATTCAATTCTCTATCGATCGGCATCGGTTTCATTCCTTCATCTTAATTAGGGTGGGAGAAATGAATTTTCCAATCGGGAGAGCCGCTCCGGGCTCACTCGACGTCGGAAAGCCGTTCGGGGTTTCTCCGNTATACCAACAGTTCCGTAGGCTCCATCGTAGTCCATGCGCCACCGCTATGAATTTTGCTGTTGAACACTTTACATTGGCCCTGCTCATCTCCCCTATAATCTCTGGTTCTGACCGTGGGTCACGGAGGGAGTACAAGTTAGTAATTCCTCTTATGGCCATAGGGCAGCGCTTTCGTCTATCACACGTACACAACCGATGTTTGATGCCTTAGTGGCTTTGTTTACTCTTCAAAGTGACGTTAATATTGTTGGATTTCATTCGTTATAATCGAATTCCATTATTTATAATCGAATGACTGGGGTTAATTAGTGAGAAAAAAAAATGAGGCGGGTGTGTGCATTTCCTGGGGGTAAATCTGGAACAATAAATCTACAATAAATAAATACAATAAATAAACGCAATAAATCTACATGAAAAATAATAAAAATTCATCGTTGACACCATGCTCCTTTTGAACGTATTTTATTTGACTATTGTTTCATTAATTATTTCAAGGACAAAGATTTTCGTATAACTGGTACAGAATTCGTTTGACAAATTTTAATGTTAATTTATGAACAACATTTGATCCATAAATTGTTGATTCTAGATTCAGTAATTTCACTCCATTCAAGAGATTAATGATGCCCGATACATTCTCCACTGATTGAACTTTATCAAATGTTATCCATGGGACTGGCTTATTTTTATACATGACACCGACTTCTAAATTTTCTTTAATCATGTTGAATGTGGCGCCCTACGCCAGTCTCCTTATTACCGACAGTGTGGCTGACTGTGTCGCCACGGCGCCGTTGCGCCTCTATGTGATATACTCGTACTATATACCACTTGTGCCTCGACCGTCGTCGCGTTACGTTGCTGAATAAAACTTCATTACATTTACGATAATAAAACTGTGTTTAATCGTTATTTTAATCCTAAATAACCCTTCAATTCACTATTCTCATACCTTCTTGATAAGTTCCCAATACTTCTACAAAAAAAATGCAATGTTCGTGTCTCACATCAGCCCAGTTACACGGTTTTTCCACACCTTTAATATTATTGTATAAATCGCGAAAAGTGAATTTTAGAGGAGTGGAATCATACATTTTTGATTTTATCGGATTCTGAGACATGTTGATTAATTGAGTACTTATAGTTTCATAAATAAATGAATAACTTATCTATACAATTAATAACTCCGATTATCAGAGAATTTTATCTACAATTCGTACGTCTTATTCACAATTTCAACATTATATTAATAACTGGGATTTATAAGTAATAATTATTGTCCTTACATGAATATGCCTATAACTCATACGTCTTTTTATTACAATTGAGTGTTTCTATCCATAAGCGCGATTTACAATTAATAATTGATATGATTGGAGGGTTAGATCTACAATTCATACGTCCCATTAATATTCCGGCTACTCTTTCGTAGTTGCAAACCAGTATTTGCAAATTATATAGCCTGATTTTCACTTCGCCTTCAACTCATCTTTAGAGAAGGTTTATGTAAAAAATTGTTTATTCCGTAACCCATTGTAAATGTGATGTGTCCAGATGATCACTGCACTTGTCAATGGCTGCGATAACTGAAAGGGAGAAATAATTGAGAACGATATGATGGAGAATATTTCTATTTATCATGAAATTTGTAGAAATCAGCGAATTTTGTTTGCTTGAATAGAAAAAATGGAATAACAGTCGTTTACTAACCTCCATTCATAGGTTGTCAACTGGATTTACTCAATCTTCTTCATTATCCCCAAACACATTTCTCACTTGGTTAGATCACATTTCTCGGAATATCACAGTACTATAAACGTACGATTACGGATATAAATCAATTTATTAATTCAACAAAATCCACTCTGTTCGTTACATTAATTGTTTAGGCCCACTTTGCTATATTTTACCCTCTCCCGTCGTCGTGCAACTGGGCGATTGAAATGCCACCTACAACACTTGAGAAGCCCGGATTGTGGTTTCATGTGCCATGCATGGAGTTCGGCCTCCTTACCTCTATTCTTCATGCCTCTGGTTTCAAAATACTTTGATACTGAAAGTCAAAACCCCGGGTTCTTAAAATAAGAATCTTTGGATACTGGAATGAAGAACCCCGGATTCTTGAAACAAGAACCGTTGAGTACTGAAATCAAGAACCCTGAGTTCTCAAAGTAAAGGTAACAAAGTGAGGGTTAGAATATAAGGGTCTAAACATAAGTTCATGCAATGAGGGTCAGAAAATGAAGGGAAACAAGTGGGACTCTAGCACTGAGGTTTATAATAGGAGGGCTGAATAGGGTAGGAGGGGGTCGGATAGAGCCACCAGACAATTGAGATTATAATGTAAATGTCAAACAATAAAATTCCGATTATAAGGGTAAAAAATGAAAGGTTAGAATATGAGTATCTGTATCCCCCAAAAACAAAAAAAAATTTTTTTTTTGAAAAAACCGACCAAGTGCACCTTTGTAAGCATTGTATTTTTTCAAAAAAAAATTGTATTGCTTCTCAGAAAAAAAATTGAAAAATTGTCGAGTAACCATTTTAATGCCTTGTTGTGGAAAAATGCCCGAGTACTTATTTATGGATAATTGTTTCTGGGAAATTGAAAAAAGTGCAGAAATAAGGAAGAGTGCCAAGTTCATGAGGTTGAACTTGTGATTTCGAAAAACGACAGAACTTTTCATAACATCTAGAAACAATTTCAGCTTTTTTCTACAGTCGGCTTGTACTGTTGCAAATTTTATAAGTTTGAACTCATCAATGTCAACTCAATATTGTCTATTCCTGTGAGTTACGGAGTGGGTACGACCATAAAAAGTGTGGTTATCCACACAACGTGAATGAAAAAGAGTGTCAATACGAGTGTTTCTTTAAAAAAAAATTGTTCAGAAAATTCTCCGGACCAACGTACTTAGCGCGGTTTTTTATCTTAATGCGGATCCTTATTTAGGAGTCTATTGTTTGAGATTTGAGATCCACTTTGGGACTCAGAAATTACTTTGAAGCATACTACACCTTGCTACGTGTTCAAATCTTTAGATAGTCAATTGTGTGATTGTGTTGGATGGAATTGCCGGATAGTTCAAGTTAATGCCTTAAGCTGATTCTTTTCCATTTTCACATATTTTTATTTTCATGAATAGAAATTGAATTAATTAAGGTAGTGAACGCCAGGTAGTTATCGGCATTCGCGACATAAAAGCATCGAGATGGTTCATTCCACCATGGTGTCAATATAAAGCGACAACTCTCCGCAATGAGTGTTTCAAAAAACTGCACTAAGTACGTTGGTCCTGAGAATTTTCTGAACAATTGTTTTTTAAAGTAACACTCATATTGACACTTTTTTTCATTGACTTCGTATGGATAACCACAATTTCACATTTCCATGAAATGGTTACTCGGCATTTTTTCAATTTTTTTTGCTGAGAAACAATACAATTTTTTTTTTTGAAAAAATACAATGCTTACAAAGGCGCATTTGACCAGTTTTTTCAAAAAAAATTTTGTTTTTGTTTTTGGGGGATTTCAATCATTTTTCCAGACGGAGTGACTCACGTCACAAGGAAAGACTCCAGATAATATGCAACATCATTTGGATTTACTTTGCTCCCAGAACAAAATATAAATATCCTTGGAGTTCCTTGGCGATTGCTTTTCGGCAACGGTTAAATCATGTATACCATGTATACACTCGCTTGTTTACATTTCAAGATATCGAGTACATTCAGTAGCGAAGTGGTGAACCGGGTTAAATCGATTTTGACTTTTGGAGCTAGCGAAATTGTTCTCATGATCCTTTTTATAACCTTCACTTTTCTCTACAAAAAAAGTCAAGACAAAAATTTTTTCATTTCTTTTAGATTCCGGGATATTCGTCAGAAACTGATTAGTAGTCAAAATTTACTTGACCGGACTTACGCTTCATTACTGAATTTTCATTTTTTTGTATTCAAACAAACCTCCTATGCTCCATATCTCTTGAACGAATTACCGGATTTTGTTCTTCGTCATTTATAGTGCTATTTTTACCTCAGTTGGATTTTTATTGTTTATTTACATAGTTCTCTCATAAATTATTTTTCAAAGCATCGTCACTCATGGATTCCCATTCAGAAAACATCTGTCATTTTTTCCATATTCTACAAGGGTTTTACATATATTTGTTGAGGAATTAATATAATATTGTCAAATTATTGCACGGACAGGGAATGAAATTTTCAGTAGGATGAATGTTACAATTCTAATGATCTATTTTACCACGCGAGTGACTACCATCGCCACCATCGGAACCAATCTGAACTACTGCGTGACATGATTTTAGGGGTCCCACCACCCGCTTTTTGCCCTTCTTCCCTGTATTCCTGCATGCGAAAGTGAGAATTCGAGTTGCGCTACCAACTCAATGGCTTGAGTGTGACCGTTCTTGTTTAGAAGATAATTGGAACGCGAAAAACGTGTATGCCAGTTCGTTGCTATATGCATATCTTCGTAAATATTGAACGAATTTAATTAATAATTGCATCAGTGGAAAGCGGATTGGTGATTTATATAGGGTAACTAAGGAGAGTTTTCGTCTAAATAGTGGCTTTTTTATTAATTGATGGAAAATCAGTTGAGGGTAGTGGGAGGGGAAGTTGTGTCGTGTATAGATACACGGTAGCTCTCGCCGTTTTGTTGTGAGGTTATGAGGCGCGACTTGGCTGATATATTACCGTGTATCTCGATCGATTTAAGGATCAGGAACTGAATGCCAGGCAATGAGGCCGAGAAAATCAGAATGAACTAGTGGATTGGGCTGTTCGTCGCTCGCTGCGCTCGCTCCTATTGCGGGTGGGTTGGTAGCGGATGTATTCATGTGGGTCTGACCCGTCGGACGGGTCGCACCAACAACTTACCGATATTATTATTCGTACCATTTTGACTGAAAGAATCCTTTTCAACTCTCAATACTCTGTTTATTTGTTCATGAGAAACCCTTGTTTTTAATTACATGATATTCATAACTATACTCACATCATTACATTGCCAGGGAGGAAAGCATCGATTTCCGTACTGTTCGTAAAGTCATACTCAAGCGACATTTTGGTAAACACAGTTCTCACTTGATAATTTTATTAAAGCACACGCCGGTTCGACACAGTCGGTGTACATGCCGGAAGTAGACGCAAAAACTTGGTCAATCAAAAAATGTCGCGTTCATGAGAAATGTGTCGCATTTTCATGAGACAAAGTACACCACTGATCTCAGCATTTGTTTTCATATAATATTTCTCTTAACTCGAAATACGATAAGATTTCTAGTATTGAGAGTTAATATTAACATCGGAGTGATATAAATAATGAGAAATTTGGAAAAACAACACACTTTCTTAGCAACTAACTTCAGATGAGTTAGTGACCAATTAGTAGAGGCGCCAGTCGATAACGATGTATTCCAATTGGAATTTTTTTATTTCTCATTTATTGATAGAAAAACGGCAATTTTTGGAAGGAATCGAAGAGAAGTATGAAATTTTTTTCATTATAATCGTTCTATATGTGATTTTCATGAGATTAAGAAAGTGTTCGTGGCTTTTTTGTCATTTTGAAATTTTCTTTCCGGGAAAACTCAAAAACCACGAAACAGATATCAGCCAAAATCTAATCCGCTCTAAGTTGAATGAAAACCTATCGATTGAAAAAAAAAAAGTCAAATCGGACAATTCGTTCACGAGAAATCGTTAACCAAAATTTTGACCACGTACATACCTAGTAACACACACACACACACACACACACACACACAGACATTTTGTTTAAAATTATGTAGGAACATCGAAAAGACCTTGAAACATGGAGATTTGATGAAAAATCGATTTTTGATTTTCGGGGCCATTACAATAACTTCCCTGCCGGGAAGTTAAAAAGTGAGAATCAGAAACACGAATTCCATTTTCTGAACCTCAGATTCCCTATTCTTTCACTTTCACTTTCTTCATCTTCTGACCTTCACTATTTTACCTTTATATTGTGATGCTCATTGCCTAACCCCTATATTACAACGCTATGCTCCGTTCATTATAGTTTGACAACCATCATCTGACCCTTATTTTCTTAACCTTACTTTCTTACCAACCATTTTTGACTCTTTTATTTTGATATCCTTTTTTTTACCTTTACATCGTTACTTTCATGTTTTGGCCCTCACCGTTTGACCCTCAATTTTTGACTCTATATACTGACTCTCCCCTTTTGGCCCTTCTATTTTCTTCCCCACTTTCTTACGTTTATATTCTGACGTTCACTTTTCGGTCCCTAATATCCTGGTCTTTCCTCTATGTCCCCTATTTCGACCACAATTACCTGACTCCCACTTTTTTCTCTTCATCCGCTGACCCTCATTTTTTTATCCTTATATTTGATACTCAAGGATTTTATTTTAAAAATCCAGGGTTCTTGATTCCACTACCCAAACATTCTTATTTTTTGAATCCTACATTCTTGATTCTAGTATCCAGAGATTCTCATTTTTTAAATCTAGGGTTCTTGAACTCAATACTCAAAGATTTGTATTTTAAGAATCCGGGGTTCTGGATTTCAGCCCCAAAGTTTCCTGAAACTAGAGGAAATGCGGATTAATTTAAGTACCATGGGTATTATTATTTCATAAGGCCGATAAGCGGCGATTTGGGAGGAGTGTGAAGTTTGCAACACGAGGCGTGGTACAGTCGGTGAAGAGGATCGCCGAAGGCGAACTGAGTTAGAGACTACCACGCCGAGTGCTGCAAACTCATACGACTCGCAAACCAACGCTATCAGCCGAATGACATAAGTAGTTAAGTAATGCCGGTTCTGGGTCAACGTTTTAGCGGAGACCTGGCCAAAGGGCCCCCGCGAGGGGGTTGGGTGGGTGTAAGGGTTAATTAATCCGCGCTAATTAATTAATTATTGATTGATTTAATTATTGATTAATTAATTAATTAAGTAAGTAATTATCAATTCATTAGTAGGTTCTGGATCAACGTTTTAGCGGACACCTAGTCGTTGGGCCCAATAGGGGAGGGGTCAGATGAAAGTGGGTGGGTAGGTGGTTGATTAATTCGCGGATCCGTGGTTTTAAGTCGCGGGTTAATTAATTTAATTCGCGGTTTGATTAGCGGGTCAATTAATTTGATTCGCACCGACTGTAATG